ATACTGAATATATGAATTCCCATTTAACCTGTCAAAACAAGACTTAAGTTTGAATTTCATGGACAAAAAATGCATTTCAGTGAATCTCATTTTACATTTGTGTGGATTCTCAATAGAAATAGTCCAGTAGCCACTAGCATTTAAGCCTTTTAAACTGCCAACAACAAAGACCTGCTGCCATCTGGTTTTCTGTTTTAGAATAGCTGTTTAATCTCACATCAGGACACGGACAGATTTGAGAGGCTCTCAGTATAAATATTGGATGACTTGTGGACTGTGCCCGAGTCCAAATAGTCTACCCTCCTAAAATAAGGAACACGACCAGGTCAACTGTGCAATTAGGCCATTATCAGCCTCAAGACAGGTTTTGCCACCAATCAAATGACTAACGCTCTAAATGGCCTCCTTTAGATAATGACTGTCGCAACAACCCCCATCCCAATCTAGCTCCATTCAATTAAAACTAATCAATGTGTATGGCCCTATCTTAAAGCCTTTAGCCATTACATAGAGTCTGAAAGTGAAGTCTTCACATTTAGTCTTAAATATCAAAAATTAGTTGGGAAATACAAATTGTTAGGAACAAAGAAAGATAGAAAAGCAAGCAGTTCACCAGACGAGCAATGAGGAGAAGATAAGAGATTGTTACAAATTGTGGAAATGACGCTTTTTCGGAATGAAATGACATGCGAGTGCAAAAACCCTTCTCCAGGACATGCAAAATCCTGAAATGTTTCAGCAGTCCCATGATAAAACTGAATAAATATAGCACCATTCTGGGGTCAATCTCCCGCCTCTGAGCTCTTAAAAGTGTGTCTCATATGTAGCACACAGCTCAACAGACAGCCCTTAAGCCCATTTAATTAAAAAATGAGGTGGTGAAGTCATACACAAACATTTTTGCCAAGTTGTCTGAAGTAACGATTTACAAAAGCCTCAAATCAGTAAAACTTTCAAAACACTTGGACATACTATCTTGTGTCCAGCTGTAAATGAAGCAAGTTTGAAAACTGGTGGGTTAAGACTGCAAGTCTAATAAAATCTAATATATTTACTCAGTACTTGGCCCGGCCTAAGTTAAGAGTGGAATAATTAAGACAAATTCAGGAAAGCATATTTTCTCTGCAGCACACTACTATTTCTAGGAAAAACATAACAGAATGTAATAAAAATAAATTAGACGTGCCAAGGATTTTACATAAAAACCCATGGTTCACGCTGCGGATTATTTAATCTTATTTACAGTAAATCAGGCGTGAGCCTAAGTAACCTAATTAAGCAGTGTTTGTTCTCAAATTGTTTGTTGAAATGAATACGCTCACTAAAACTACATTTAGATCATGTAAAAGCTCTCTCCAGTGACAACAGAACAAGTCCAATTCTTTCAGCGTACTGCATATTTATAGAAAATAAATCCCTTATCCAAATCCAAAAAACACTTTCTGTATTTTCTTTTTTGTAGTCATTTCTACATTTAAAAAGCATGGTAACCCCATGTAAAATGCATCGTTACACATTTTCACAGCATCACAGCCACAAGATTAGAATCAGGGTTGCATACAGAACCTCCCTAGAGAGTGACCAGGAGAAGCTTTTCTTATTTTAAGCTTGTTTGGTTTGGTCTTACAAGCTATTAAATTGTGTGGTGTCATGTTTAGGTCTGAGGTCTGCAGCAAAAGGCTGGAGATATCTAAGTCTGTTAAGACTTAAAAAAGTCTTGAAGTTATTCTCAAGATCGGTCATTCCACTGTATTAAACAGCTGCCAATTTGTACCAGACTCCTTGCTCCAGCAAATAAACCCAAACAGAACAACATAAAAAGTATAATAAAAATACCACAACATTTCATCAAAGGGTCTTCAGCCATTTCTTACTACTGGTGTCAAAAGGCGTTCATTTACAATAAGATGCAGGGAAAATCTGAACTGCAATGCAGACGTGCCTTGCTTATTGAGAGGATCCTGCTTATTGGTCTGAATCCCACTGAAATGTTGTGTGGACTTTAAAACAGGCAGTGTGTAAGAGAAACCTTAGATTAAAACATTCTGTAACTGACAGGATTTGTATGGAAGAGCGGTCAAAGACTTTAATAAGCCAATATCTGAGACAGGTGAACAATTATGCAAATCATGGCCAAGGGTATACTTACCTCGT